GGGGGAAAAAAAACAGTTATTTCAAAACCGCTTTTCTGTGAGTCCTTCTGAACTAAACAGGTTATATTGAAGGTTTTAATCCCTATCATTCCCAAAGTGGTTACTGCTGGTTTGAGGATAGGAGAGTCCACCCCCATCACACATTTCAAAGTGTCCCTGTGAAATTCTATGGTCTTATTTAGAGGACCTTGGGATTCCTGTCTCCATTCAACAGGGAGATTCAGTGCCCTCTAATCGTAAAATAATGTTTTCTCTCAATCAGGCTCTTAATTGATCTTAATTTATCTGGATCCTATAAGACCCTAGGTAGGATTACAACGAGGGGCCATTTTCATAGACATAATCATTTAATTTCATGTAATATCCTAATATTAATGTCCTATATTAGTGTACAAATTGTGTACAGCTGGGCATTTCCTGAAGGAGTGTTGATTAAATACTTAGTGGTTCAACAGAAGTCCTCCATCAGGGATTTTGCCTTCATACCTGGTAGGCCACCTGCTGGTATGTTAGTACATTGCACTCTGGTATCTGCCATTGGCTCTGCTCACATATACGCCCCTCCGAAAGCCCCCCAGCTGCTATTCTGTAGACTTCGCCCTGATTCGCCCAGAAGCACATCTTCCATCTGTACATCTTTACTCCTTCACTGGAGGAGCCTTAGGTGTCTGTGAAGAAAGCTGCGATGTGGACGTCGCAGACCCCGAGAAGCTCAGTGGGTCGATCCGCCCCATAATGTGAATGGCCCCGCCTCCCGTGTTTCCCCATCAGACGAGGGGAATTCCATTTATGCGCACGGTACCAAAGCGTAAAATTGCATCCGCTTTCATAAAATGCTCACAATTTATCCAGCGCTTATGCTGATCCCACTCTGGAACCGTAAAATCGGGTTTGTGCTGTTCCAGTCCGGAAAACCAGACCGGGTCCCGGTGACTGTAAATCCCGTGAATCGTGGCCTGTTCTCTGCGTCCTGGGCCACCGACGCACACTTTACTGGGAGCACATTCAGCTTACACTGCAGCTTTCATTGTCTTCCTTAATCTCTCCTTAAATCTTCATTTCTGCCGCTAAGTCGTCATTTTGTCCTGCCTCCTCGTTCCTGAGATGATTTTTTTCCCCCTTCCATTCTCGGCCGTTTCATCTCCCTCCAGATCTCGCAGTCTGTACGGGGAAGAGGCTGAGCTCAGCCCATCATGTGGGGGGTCAGCATGGTGGACCTAATTCTGATTGAAGCCCCTGGTTATGTGAGATCCTCACACTCGGGTGACCCAGAATGAATGATCCTACATCCGTTACGTGCTCAAAGACGGGCTCCTAGACCTTAACAGGGGTCATTCCCTGGAAGCAGCTCCCCTTGTACTAATAATGCTCCTTGGGGGCGGCTTCCCCGCCACCCATCTCATCCGCCACCTTTTTTATTGAACACAAATGTGCTTTTTTATAATGATCTCCATTGAAACGCCCCAATGCATAACTGGAAGTGACAGACCGTTTGGTTTGGTTGGTGAACCAACCCCCCCCCCCAATATTAACTTCATAGGGATGTGGGCATTGTGTCTCATTGTGAAAGTACTGGGGTGTGTCATTTTCACTTGCATGGCCAGCCATTTTGTCCTGTCACCCTCCCCAGTACACACACGTGTAACTATGAAGGACAGGATTTCACGTGGTTTTGGTCATGCTATGTTTTATAAACAAGACGTGATCCGCATTTGATCATCGCTTCCCCCTACCCTGCGAGCCTCTGCAAATTGACGAGATCCCCCGGAAAATGATAGCACCCCGTTGGCAGTTCAGTATTTCACGGGGTTACTCACTTGGCACCTGTCTGCCTTTATCGATTCCTTTCGCTCTCTCTGTTTCAGGCTGTAATAAAGCGCACCTTGTCCCTCCTCCATCTCTGCTCGTCTGTGGTGAACACCACTGCTTATCTCCGCTCCTTGGTATGGTAACGAACCATTTGAGGATCGGCAGTAATTGCTGTTCTACCTTGTGGTTCTCTTTGGACCCCACAGTGAGGCGTGACCTGTGTCGATGGCGTGTTTTACGACAGCCCCGGCTGTCCTTTGCCGAAGGACACACCGTAACGACCGCAGGGGTAACGAGGCTGCTTGAGCGAAATTGCTTTTTTTGTGGCAAGAATCCCCATTAAAAGGTCGGTGCAGTTGTACCAAGTGTCTTCTCAATCTCAGGCTTGCAGTAGAAGTTTGGAGAACTTTGCCCCCCCACCACACAACATGCCCCGAAGGCTCCTGCATGGTCCGCATCCGAGCACCGATGCTCCAGAAAGGTTCTGCTCTCAGATACTGATCCACAGTTCCCATCCGGCTGTTTAACCCAATCCCCATGCATGTGGCCTCTTATTGTCATGCCTATGTTATCCGATACCTTTATTTGTTAAGATACACCCAACACAAAACAGCTAACAAATAAACAAATAAGAAGTAAATAGACCACAGTCAGTGGTCTGCTTCAACTCTGCATTCATGTCCTGGCTCATTAACATCAAAGCAGTCCCCCATCTAACGTCCTGCGCTGCCGGCTTCCTTGGTGCTGGATGACATCTGAACCCTTTAGTGATCTAGCTAACAGCAGGCCCCACCGCTGGCTTTGGGTTCAAGTCCCGTTCAGATCAGAGGACGGTGGGCCATTGGAGGACAGTCCACTTAATGGGATTTGTAATGGGAGTCACAGTAAATAGTTTCTCCTGCTGTTATCATACGGCTAATGATCTCTGCATTTCCATTAAATTAGTATGGAATGGTTGCTAAAAGCTGGGTACTTAAAAAGCTTCACTGCACACCACACACAGTATCACATTGTCCCTATTATCCTACATTCATTAACGCCGAGCTGCTGGGCTCTCACTGGGGATCCTCTGGACTGAATGCATTTATTTTTTATTTTGCTTAAGCTAATTAAAAGTTGCCTCTCTTTCAGCTTTGTGTACCATTGAACTCACAAAGGTTCGTGTCTGAGGCCTGATGTTTGAAAGTCCCAGACATCACATGTCTTCATCACTGGAGACAATGAAAAACTGAAGAGGGAGTGTTTTTGTGCATTTTGTTTGTTTGAAATGGTGAAGACATGGTCAGGAGGCTCCTGCCAATTGCTGCCAAGCCCAAAGACCAAACAGCGTTTGACAGCAGTGAAGCTAACGTGCTGATGTGTGGAGCTAGGGGAGCTTATGGCCAAGGCTGGCATTCATGTGGACCAGTGTTTCCCAGTCTGGTCCTTGCGGACCAGCAGACAGTCCACGTTTTTGCTGTCTGGCAGGGAGCTTGGAGGCATTGAGCACAGAAGAAATTCTCGAGGCAGGAGGAGTTAGATTACTACATAATTCTGAGAAAATACTGTCTACAACTTTGTAGCAAATGCTATCTTATAGTGTTGCACCTGAGCAAAATTTTACTACACTATACTGTATGGACAAAAGTACTGGGACACACTTCATAATCATTGAATTCAGGTGTTTCAATCAGACCCATTGCCACAGATGTATTAATTCAAACACCTAGCCATGCAGTTGGGTTTACAAATACTTGTGAAATAATGGGTTGTTCTGAGGAGCTCGGTGAATTCAAGCACGGTACTGTCATAGAATACCGCCTTTGCAATAAGTCAGTTTGTGAAATTTCTTCCCTGCTAGATATTCCACGACCAATTGTAAGTGGTATTATTGCAAAGTGGAAACATTTAGAAACAACAGAAACACAGGCACAAAATGGCAGACCATGTACTGTAAAGAGAGCGGTTGCCAAGTGCTGAGGCGCATAGTATGTAAAAGTCGCCTATGTGCTGTTGACTCAGTAACTGTAGAGTTCCAAACTTCCTCTGGCATTAACCCCTGCATGAAATCTGTGCTCTGGGAGCTTCATGGAATGGGCATCCATGGCCAAGCAGCTGCATATAAGCCTCACATCACCGAGCACAATGGCAAGCGGTGGATGGAGTGGTGTAAAGCACTCTGCCACTGGACACTGGAGCAGTGGAAACATGTTCTGTGGAGTGATGAATCAAGCTTCTCTGTCTGGCAGTCTGATGGATGAGTCTGGGTTTGGCAGACACCAGGAGAACGTTACCTGCCTGACTACATTGTGCCAACTGTAAAGTTTGGTGGAGGAGGGATAATGGTATGTTGTTGTTTTTCAGCGGTTGGGTTAGGCCCCTTAGCTCCAGTGAAGGAAACTCATAATGCTTCAGCATACCAAGACATTTTGGACAATTGTATGCTTCCAACATTGTGAGAACAGTTTGGGGAAAGCCCTTTTCTGTTTCAGCATGACTCTTCCCTACGGCACAATAGCAAGGTCCATAAAGGCATGACTGGGTGACTTTGGTCTAGAAGAACTTGACTGGCCCACACAGAACCCTGACCTCAACCCCACCGAACATCTTTGGGGTGAACTACAACTGAGATTGCCAGCCAGACCTTCATGTCCATCATCAGTGCCTGACCTCACAAATGTTCTTCTAGATGAACGGGCAAAAATTCCTCAACACACACAAACTTGTGGAAAGCCTTCCCAGAATAGTGGCTGCTGTTATAGCTGCAATGGGAGACCGACTCCATATTGATACCTATGGGAATGGGATGTCATAAAAGTTCCTATAGGTGTAATGGCCAGGTGCCCCAATACTTTTGTCCATATAGAGTATGTCAAAGTTGAGAAGCCTATAGGGGAACAACGGAGGGTTTCATTTTAGTGCACAAACAGGGTTATATATATCACAGCTGCATACTTTTAGCACACCCTAGTGTGGGCGCAAGCAAAAACAAGTCTGGCTCATAAACCCTTAGCTTCCAGCAGTTACATCAGGCAGAATCTCTGCATTTCGCTGTGTTAATCAGCATTCCTCAGTTTACGTTTTTACTCCACCTCCCAATGGCACAGTGATATTTTGATGGTTGGGAGTGGACCCACGTCTGCTGGGAATAATGGCCCATGTGACCCGTGATGCCCCAACATGAAGCACTTTGGTATTTTGTGTCCTCACAGGAGCTGGTGGGCAGCAACCCCCCACAGCGGAACTGGAAGGGAATCGCCATCGCCCTGCTCGTCATCCTGGTTATCTGCTCCCTGATAGTCACCTCTGTCATCCTGCTGACTCCAGGTATGGTTAGGGTCAACGCCCAGCCGGCCTCTTTCACTCCTGCTACCTGTTAGCCCAGCTGCGCACTTTACTTGTGATTTCAGTCTAATTTTATTCGGTAATATCATGGCAACTTCTCGCTCCATCGTTTTCTCCACATCTAAAGCTGCTTTTTTGACCTTCACAAATTATGCGAAAAAAATGTTATGGGGGGGAGGTGGAGATCACAGTTGGGAGGTGCAAAGGGCTATCAAGCAAGTCCCATCACAAGACTGCCAATGAGTGCTGCATTCAGAGGAAGCGCCAGGGGACGTGGGTAAATGCCAAAGTGGGGTGTGGCATTAATTGGATCGATAGTTATCAGACACTCTTGCTGAGGGTTGCGCTCCTGTTTCGTCAGCTGACTGTGGGGCAGTGTGGTGTCTGTCAGCTCTGAACAGTGAAGTTTTGTAATATCTTCACCCTGGAGGTGATGGAGCATCGCGTTTCCCCGAGACGCGCACATTAAGGATTACGAACAAATAACTATCGCCGTACTCTGTCAACGGCAGGCGGGACCTTGGATCAGCTACAGCCTTGATGTTTGAATTCTTTGTGAAGTACAAGGTATAGTTTCTATTATGTAAGATCTAACGCAAGGCGTTGCTTTACGTTGTGAGTAACTGCAAAAGCACTTACACTACTCCAAAGGGGTGAGACATAGCGTCTGTTAGCGTTCATTTCATATTGTTGGAATATATGAATTTGAATATGAATGGAATCTGATTGGCTGCCAGGAGATTGGCTCTCATCCCCATTACGACATCAGTTAATCTGACTTCTCTTTGTTTTTGAGTTGGGGATAACCTTCAAATATGTCATGTTGTTTTCTCACCTTACGAATAAATGGATGGATGGTGCTGGATTTTTCACGACTTTCGAAATGAGGCCTCCAGCAAACGGAAGCCTTCACAGAGGTGTGGCTGACTGCCTCGTCGTGTCATTTCATCGTTTTCTGTCGCCATCAACGCCGCATCGCATTTCACGGAGGCTTTCTGGAAGCTTTGGCACAGTAAGCTCGTGTGGTTAGAGTCCGAAGGCCCAGAGCCGCGTGCTGGTCCCTGCCTCTGCCAGAGAGCTCTGCTTCTTTTGTGATATAATGAACTCGCCGTTTCAAGAGAATTTCCTGCGTTCCTAGTGCTGGCAGGCGTGACAGATGGGCCATGATCAGAATCAATGGCGGAATATTTCTGCCGCAAGTTAATATTCGTACGGGTTAAATGGTGGGGGTGCGGGGCATTCAGGTAGTGGGAGGAGGTCGTTTGTCTTACTGCCACTGAAAATGTCACAAAAGCCTTTCCCATAAGAGACGGTGATGTGGATTTTCATACGGCGAGGACTTTGTGGTTCTTTGTTTTCTGTTGGGATTTCTGAAGGGCACCGTGTGTCAAATATGGAATTGTCCAGTGAGCCCCCTCTCCCCCACCTTGAAAAACACACCCCCACAAACCCCCACCACCCACCACTTGGCTGCCGGAGTTGCACCCGCTGGAATTAATGGGATTACAATGTAACAGGGAGAAAAATCAGTTGGATTGTGAGCAGAGAAGCATTAATGAGACGCATGGATCGATAGAGGGCCAAAAAACAAGCAAGTTTGGCCGCACAGCTCCTCTCCTTCCTCGGAACCGGCGTCTGGTTTATTGAGCTCTCACCACCACGTGAGGGACCGGCCTCTGAGAGGCGGCAGCATGCTGGCCCTCTGCTCCCAAATCCCCAAGGCGACTCCCAATATTCGAGGAGGCTCAGCCAGGGACTGGGGGCTGAGTATTAGTCCAGAGGGTTGGCAAACTGCACTTTCACCAGAAAACTCCCAGTATGACACGCCATCAAGGACGCTGAACTGTCCCACCGAGGGCCGCAGGTGATTGAGGCGATCGGTCCGGCCTGCTGTCTTTCTCTCTCGCCAGAGACCCACCTGTGCTCCCGGTAAGTAGGACGTGGCTTGTCTGCCAGAGCCCTCCCTCCTACTGGTGCAGAATGACCAAGATACCCTGAGGAGGGAGCGCAACCCATCCGGATTTCGTTGTCAAGCATCTTCAGAAAGCTTTTCAGCCGGGACACCAGCCTGGTACGCTACCTTCAGTCTGAGACAGAATCTGTGAAGAAGGCCCATCTGGCCAAATTAAGGACAATGTTGTGTGTGTGTTTTTTTTTTTTGCACAAATTAGAAAATAAACACATTTTACATCTTATTGAGTTCTCGCTAATGCCACTATTTAAGCATATCCAAGAGGAGGATTCCTGCTAATTAAAATGGCTGTAATACACTCCCCACAATAGCCCTATAATAAGGAACAGCTGAAAGTGGTGGCTGTGCTGTGGCCTCGCTGTTCTGTCTCTCTGGGCCCTTTGAATTCACATCGCTACCTTTGAGCCGGAGAGCAGGCCTAAATGACTTTGTCTATTCAACAGCTCAATTAACATGACAGGCTGTCGGGGAGATAATGGACGGATTTACAATGCTGAGGAAACACTCCGTCTCAGTCATTAACTCCATGAGCACTGACGTGTGCTGGCTGCCCCTCTCCTCACTGTCGCCAGCCTGGCGTACGTCATGGTCACCTGACCCTTGGGCTGCCGGGCCGTCTGTCCAGTCATGTTCAATTGGAGACCTGGATGACTGGACTGTGTATTCTGACAAGGTGCTGGAATTGGCTTTGGATCTGGCAGTTGGGACCTTGCATGAGGGCCTTTGTTCATATACACTCACCTAAAGGATTATTAGGAACACCATACTAATACGGTGTTTGACCCCCTTTCGCCTTCAGAACTGCCTTAATTCTACGTGGCATTGA